GAGAGAGAGAGAGAGAGAGAGAGAGAGAGAGAGAGAGAGAGAGAGAGAGAGACTCAATTTGACTGTACGTTTATTCGGATATTAAGCGATGCCAGTTGATATCCGAAACCTAAATTTGGCCCCGTATATCGCACACCCTCGCTCTAGCAATGTGATTTCTCCACTATATGTTTCGTTTATACGACTCTGTTAACTTGAGAGGACGAAACTAACAACGCACGAGGAATAAAAACGCGTAGAAAACGTATAAGAGCTAAGGGATGTACTTCGATTGATATCCTTCAATGACGAATCGTAGACTCTGTTCCGGAGATTGAATCATCATCGACATAGCGCGATGCGTGTCATTCCAACTGAATCTCACTTGCGCGGAACTCTTCGGTTTTATAATCGCTCGACGAATATCAAATTTATTACGACGGCGAATATCAAATTTCGGAGCGTCGCCTCGTTGATGGACACTCAATAAATACCTTCCTACATCTTCCGACTGTCCGCGTCGCGACAGGCTACGATCTACGTCGCTACGTCACTACTATTTTATAGTCAGTAATTACCTCCGCGATATACTCTACATTTTATTTTTTTTTTGTTTTTTAAGTCGATCGCAATCAACTGTGCGCGAGAAAATGAACAGGGAGTAGTTGGTTTTGCGCGTCAATGCGTAACGATGACTTTCGACATGTAGCGAAGGCGTGTTACGCGTACGCGTAAGAGTACGCGACAGAATAGGAATAATTGAGTTGCCACCACCATCACCCACTTCACTAGAAACTTAGAGCACTTAATATTCAGGTACTAATTATGTTATCGTGGAGTATGTGAAAATTCGATTACTTGGCTTTACGCGTCTCGACAGCAACAAAGCCAATACTTTAATAATAATACGACTAAAATGCGACAGCTGCCTGCGATGATACGCAGCTGCGTAAACGCCGCTCCTTGGCATTCGAATTGGACACGAAGTTAAGAAGCGCACGGTCACTACAGCTACTCGTACGTGAATCTCAATTTCGCGCTGAAGGTATCTAAAATCGAACAGAGATTGAGCGCGAATGAATTCGATACCAGTTGCCAGAGGTCTATGACGCGTGAATCAAACGCCACGATTCATCGCGAGTCTAGTCGATAATTTCGCCCGCCACATCCGCGGGGGATCTCTTTCGTCCCCATTTTGACCCGGACATCTCGCCTCGTTCTGGTAATGTCCGCGGTGCTTTAAATCTTTATCAATATTCAACGATTCAAACCTCCTACGGCGACATTTCCGGAGACCAGCTCCGTGCATCATACATATATTTCCATCTATCGAGAAACGTAACGACGGGTGCGGTTGATCGTTCTCAATCAACGTGTGCATAACATATATATTATATATATATATATATATATATATATGTATATATAAACGCTATTTTTTCCTCATAAACACACCCTACACGATAGGGAAGATATCGATCAGCCCATAACATAATACTCGCGCGATTACTATTCGCACGCAATTAATCGCATACTCAACGCGACAAAGTGGCCGCCGATAGGCACGAGTCGTGTCGCGAATTTACATCAAACTTGCTACACGAAATAGTCGAAATGCATAATGCAAATGACGAGGCATGCCTAACAGCCAGGAAGTTCCAATTTGACGGAGTACCTAAGCTATTCCTTGCTTGACAAGCGACGAACATGTACACGCATATGCACACATGCACATACACGATGTATTTCTTAAACCTTTGAAACACAAGGCCCTCAAAATTCAGATTCTAATAAAATATTCATGTCACATGTCGACAACCTGACAGATCATTAGAAATCAATTTTTTCTATTCTCCTATTCTTAAAGAATAAACGCGCAAACTGAAGCGAACACTACGAGCTAACATAAAAAATCGATAGAGTGCATTACTAATGCACAGGCTAAGCGATGGTTTCGTCGCGAGATAGCCTAAAGCTATGATTTGGTTCTAATAGATGATCCCACGGTGAGACCATCGTGCTTCAAACGGTTAGACGTTCGACAAAATCGATGGTAAAATTATAAAATTCCGCGAGGAGAGAATAAATTATTGGAAAAGACAGAAACTATATATGCGTTCCTTTCCTTCTCGTTAAAAGAAGAAGAACGGAGGGGGGTTAAACTTCCTCTTTTCACAGCCGATCTCGTCGTTGAGTTGCATTTAGCATGTTCTTTCGCGTGGCAGTAAATACTTCAGCTAACGTATCAACACGAATAAATACTTTGCTAAACGCGCGCAACACGTTCAATTCGATTTCTATTCGATATAGACTAATGTAAACTTCATTACCGATGCTCAGCGCAGTCGATCGTGTTTTTAGCAGCTATTACAGCAGGAAAGAAATGTGTGAGAATTTATATAGAAGAGAGAGGGAGAGAGAGAGAAAGAGAGAGCTTCTTCTATAATTCTCCCTCGGTTTACACGGATATTCTCTTCACGCGCATACTACGCGTCATTACACTTTTTTGTTTCACGGCCACTATTTCACCTTCTGCTTATACCTTGCAACTGCGCGCCGGCTTTTACGCTAATGGTCCCCAACCTTCCTAAAGAGCGACCCTAAATTTTCCGGAAGATTACGGTTGTACGACAAACGCCAAGAAGAAAACGGAAGACGACGCCAGGGAGAATATAATGCAACGATGCAATGTAATAGCAAGACATAGACCGCACGTAGAAAGGGATGATGCACACACCCGCCGTAAATAAATAAATCGCGACTCTCGAGAAAATGATATTCGCGGAGTTTGTAAGTCTGTGTGTAACCGCGGCTCGTAACCTCAGTGAGGCGCGACCACGAAACAACGGCAAAAGCTTCGCCCGCGCTAAAACAAACACAGTGTCCGTCGCGGTGACCTGACGAGTGGTCAGGGTCGCGGACTCGAGGTCGGGGTACCGTCCGCGCGCAATCTACACGCTGGTGGTGATCTGCTCGATGACGGTGATATCGCGGTGACGGCGCGGTCGCGTCCGATACGGGTCCTGATGGCTGAGGCCTTCCGGCACGCTCTTGCTGGGCCTAAGCGGCGCGTGGAACTGATGGGTGTGGTAGTAATGATCGGCGTCGTGCATCCGCTCAAAGTCCCGCTCCCGCATGTTGTCCTCCAGCACGTCCAACGGCACGTGCAGGGACTGCGACTTGGGTAGCCGAGGCCGTGGCGGTGGCGGACAGGCGCACGGTGGTGGCGGCGGCACGACGCCGAGGCTGGTCAGCCGCGGTCCCGGTAGAATCGGCGAGGCCGGCTGCCGCCCCCAGCCGACTAGGAAGAGCAGCGCCGCGCCGCACAAGGAACTCAGGGTGCACGCGTAGTAGCCCACCCGCGGGCTGCTCGCGTTCATGTAACCTGCCGAACGTGAGCGCGTTATTTCGAAACCTATATGATTTATATTTCACCGCTGGACCTGGGACGACGGAGTGGAAGAGGATGGTGGGTGTTTGTTCCGCTGACCTTCCTCGCACGCACACGAGGAAATAGATCCGGCGCGATATCGGAGACAACGAACACACGAACGGTAGGAATTCCCCGACGGGACTGAATTTCAGCTCTTTACCGTGACTTATAGCTCTGCTAGCGTAGCTCGAGTCTTGTAAATACGCGCGCGCGGCAGTTGTCATCTTCCCTTAAATATTCTCTCAGGAACGGACGTGCATTTTCCAGGAGCTCCGTGCATTATTATTATTAAAGACGTCGGCATTAAATTCATACGCAAGGACCGTAAGACTATTAGCAAGGGACGGATTTTTAACGAGAGCGCGGAGTCCCGTCCACCTTGGTACCACAAAAGCTCTAATACTCATGGCGGCTCTTTGAACACACGCAAAAGAAGAACTTGTATCAAGGGAAGCATTTGTGAATTCTCGATTTCTCGCAGAGTTGCGTGCTCTGCGAAATCTTGCATAGAAAACCCTGCGGGTTATTTGCGGATATCTGCCATCGACCGAATGCAAAGTTCAATCCCGCCATCGGCGTTCACGTCGACACTACACACATTGGAGTTCTCGGCTATTGCCGCGATATAACAAAAGGAAAATATCGATTTTTCGTCACTAATAAGTGACTGTCATTAGGTGTAACTTTTTCGGCTACCTCGAATGTCTATTTTAAGAGTTTCCCGCGAAATGTCTACAATGCAAGTTCGATTCCTACCGCGCGGCGATAGCTGTCGCGCAGAAATCAGGGGAATAGGGAATTGTTCTCAAGGAGAGGTGTTTCATCCAAAGTTCGCGCGAAGGGGTTCTACCGTACCTGTGAGAGGAACTCCGAGAAGGATCGGTAGAGCTTCCGCGGCTTGCACCAGAGCCCACGATCTGGCGAAGTGTCTGGCCCGCAGTCTTTCCAGAGCTAACATCTTGAGGGAGTAGAGCGCGCCGCCGAGTGAAGCGCCGTAAAGCCCGGAGGCCAGTACAAGTCCGTGATATCCTTGCACGCTACCGAGCGCCACTTGAGCTATAGCTTTAAGCAAAGAGGGGAAATCTAATTCGAATCGCTAGGTCCTCGAGTGATCTTCGGCTCTCTATATCCGCGAGTTATTCGGCCGCGAAATTCGAGCAACACAGCTCTGTCAGTTCCCCGTTACACTCGAAACTCGGTATTTATCTGGAGAGATTTGCGCGTCGAGTCGAGTTCGCCAGTTTCGGCTGTTTCTAAATTGAGTTCGGTCTCGATAAACTTTTTATTTTTGTACAGCATCGCGTCGAAAAATGAATCAACGGCAAAGTGAAATGCCGAATCAAGCGCTCAGAGGAAAACATGGCGATGACAACTGTACGGATTTTCTACGTGGAATATGTACAGTTTAATAAGCTAGCTTCCTAGATATACTGAAACTTACATGGCAATAAAATACACTGAGAGAAATTATCCGATAAAAAATTAACAGATATTTTTTACCAAATTCCGATTAATTTTTATATCCAATCAGAATATCCGATTAAATTTGATCGAATTTTCTGATCATAACGGGCTAAGTGGATAGCAAATCCATTTTCTTCGATTAATTTCGAATGGATTTGAATAGCTTTTTAATTTAGGGCTTAGCTATAAAAATATGTTATATTAAATGTTGAAAAGTTACCTTAAATAAGAACTTGTTTCGACAAAATGGCTTTTCGATTTAGTTTTCCATAAAAAATAACGTTATGTACTTAAGGGGCGGGGAATAGATGACACCCTGTATATTAGTTTTGCACACAAAACTCGTATAATCGTCGTGTTTTTTCTCTAGGTGAGATAAATTCAAAGTAATTTCGCGCGACAAGGGAATTAAGTCGTTTTAAACAAGATCTTGAATATCATAACGGACACAAGCAGCGCCGATTAAGCGTGAGTGCGTCCACCGGAGCAATTTGAGCTGGCAGTTAACTACGGAACACGCGCCTGCGAAAGTAGCCCGACGACGAAAGTTCGAAACGACCGCGAGGTATACTGACCGACCCCGATGAGCGCCGCTTGGCAGAGATATTGCCTGGACACTAGGCACTGAGCGGAAGGTCTGGCGGTAACTACCCCCCATGCCGCGCATCCCAGAGCCGCCGCCAAGCCCAGACAGGTCTGCAGTAACACCAGCGCGCTGGCCTCCAACCCGTCCTGGTAGCCCTGCAGCGCCTGAAAGTGATGTTTCTCATTAAGGGATCGGCGCCGCGAAAACGCGTCGGGCACGGATTCGAGCGATAATACGGACAATGCCGCGCCGCTAATGACGCTCCATCTCTCTAATATCGATTATCGAAATTGGCTCGTCCCGTGATTACAGGCGACAGAGACAGAGAGAGAGAGAGAGAGAGAGAGAGAGGATCGCGAAATTCGATCGATGCGCTCTCCTCCCTCCGCGCTATACGCGAGACCGTAACTTCCAGACACTCTTTAACTACCAGAGCTGTGTAATGACTATTAATAACTACTAATATCCTTCCCGCAATATAGATTATGTGGTCTTAAGCGAGACTTGCGTCGTTAGCACCCTCCGTGGAGATACACGCCACCGGCGTCGCCGGCGGAGTCACCACCGACTGCGTTCGGTAACGGGAGCGCGCGCGCGCGCGCGAGTATCTCGTCAATTTTCCTCGATGCACACTAAGACGGTGGACATTAAAACTTTTGATGATGTTTTGGAGACGTAATCGAGAGGAAGTGCATGGCGAGATGCGCGATTCAAGTTTCAAGATGAGAATAAGGTATTCGTGACTATAATCGCACAGTGATTAGAATCGGTGCAATTCTGCAGTAAATGTTACACTGCGAGAAAAAGTATTTGGAAAACAACAGATATTTATTCAGCGGGCATTAATAACGTATTCACTCGCAAATGAATGATATTAACATATTTATCACAATTTTCTTCATTTAAACCGAGTATTGTTTACTTGAACCAAGTAAACGATTTAAATAAAAAGATTTTTTATTTAAGTAAATATGTTAATGGTACCTATCTAAGAAATAATTGTTAATTTTTAGATATTTTAAGCGATAGATAAAATCACACCGACGGAATTTTCGTAATGAAAGCTATTGCTAATTAGGTGTTAGGGACCCTACACACAGTTTCCTGCTCTGGTCACAACGCATTTGATGGAGTCGCTGCACTCCAAAGGATACAAGAGTCAATGTCTTTCAGCCCGTGCTGAAATGACGGCGAGAATACGACGACGTCTTGCGAAATAAGAGTTCCAAGAACGCAACGAGAAAATGAGATTCGCCATTTCCATTTTGTGCGGATCGGTCGTTATTTTCTCGAGGAGCCTACTATCAAAGAGAGACGGTCCTCTCCGTTCGCTTCGCCTCCGTGCACTTACGATATAGAAGGCTGGGGTGTAAAGACCGAAACCGGCAGCGCCGGCGGCCAGCATCAGCATCCTCACAGGGCGTGATCCCAGGGGACTCAGGTCGACCAGCGGCTGCCTCGGTACCTTGCTCGTGGACTTCTTCTCCTTCACCTTACCGCGCTGATTCTTCAGATGCAGTATGGCGCGCCGTTGCGGATGGTACAGCGAGGCACTCCGGTAAATCAGCCCCAGGAAGAAGGCCAACGAGAGTGCGCCCGTTACCGACTGAAGCCCCAGCCTCCAGCCCAGCTTCCTGCGGGAACAGCGCGTTTACGATCTTCTCGCGGAATTCTCGTTGAATCAGCTGACCTTAGCGACTTTAGCCGTGCACGTATTTTTGCGTCCTACATCGAGCAAACGAGACTACACTTTTTCCGGAGGAAACCCGTTCCGCCTTTTACACCTTTTATCGCGACTAATTCCCAGCTTTCCGTTTGAGAATTATCGCCGAATACTCAAACATTTGTTCAGTCGAGTCTGTTTTTCGACGCGGCTCTGCGCGAGTTGTTTAACAATTCTACACATTACAACGAGTCGATTGAACGGCCGAGCGGTCGCGCGGGATGTTTTCACAGCATGCAATTCACAAGCGCGGAACTCATCGCCACGTCCTCGCGGAGATGATCGATGGGGTCATATCGCGAGAATGTATACACCTAGTAGACACAAGAAGCGCGAATATCTCCCGACGGAAACTTGCTAAAAATTTACGTAATTAGTTTGACGAGATAATAAGGAGCCGCGAGACGGTGAACGATGAAGTTTAACGATCTTGCGGATTTTTAAAGTTCAAACATTATGCGTTATTATCCCCGCGTCGCTTCCGCAACTTGTAATAAAAGTTGCTTAATAAAATGGCTTCCGCGTGACAGTGATATAGCGACGGTATTTACGATGCGCGCTGCGTGCCCACGCTACTTCGTTACACAAGTAGTTACGAAATTCACGCGTATACAAATACGCGTCGCTACCGGCGGTATGTCGCGTTTGTGGGGTGAGAAAAGTCTGTCGTTACTCGCTCCATCTATTATTCCTCAGAGAAATGATCCTAAGAAAAATTACCCGATAAAAAAAAATTAACAAACGGATATTCGCGATCAAAATACCGATCAATTTTTATATCCGCGATCAGGATATCCAATTTAATCAAATAATTTCGATCATAATGGCATTTCATCAGATCAAGAAATTATGAATATATTCTCCGATATATTCTCATCGGATACAAAAATTGATCGACATTTTGATCGGAAATATCCGTTTGTTAATTTCTTATCGGATAATTTCTCTCAAGCCGAATTTGGCGGGGGAAATATATTAAAGTTGTCGGGTATTAATAGGACACTCAGTGATCTTTAATGTTTTCACAGCGCGACCCGACTGTGTAGTCTACAACGACGAGTTTCGCTTGCCTCAATATCTCAACAGAACCCTTTTAAAAGGCGATCGAAATGAAAAACGGTTAAACGAGAGACCGTTTCTGCAAAAATTGAAATTTAATCTTTCGGATATTTTCAAAGCGCGCGCGCGACACACACACGCACACGCGCGCGCGTACACGTGTGCGCGCGTGTGTTGTCTCTGAATCGATAATTTCAGACACTGTGAACCTTTCGTCACGATCGGTCCAGTTAAAACGATCAACGACTGGAATTCACATTACGGCAATATTTCCAAATAACAGTGCGCCGGTCATGAAATTACAACGGCAAATTGTAACAGTATTCGGGTCAAAAGATGAAAGGCGAGAAGAGCGGGCGGAAAGAAGGGGAGCTCAAAGGAAAAAGGGAACGTTGGTGCTTAAATCCAGGTATTAAACGACTCGAAGAAAATAATTCAACCGCTAGCCTGTGGAATTAACTCTCTCTCGCGCGCGCCCTAATTATATTCTCAAAAATACAATTATTTAAATATACGAATATTATTTTTTTGCTTGGTTCCTTTTTCATCAAACCCGTTATAGCGGCATTTCTCGCCGGCGCCCCTTGAGCGGGAGATACGCGCGGACGTAGCCGTAAAATTTTTTTTACATCCTCCCATTTGTAGGCGAGCGTGGCGCATTCGCGAATATGCATGCCGGCTCCTCTCCCCCTCGAGCGCGTAGGGATATTAAAATAAGAAATAAAGCGGCGTCGGTGTAGATTCTCTCGGCGCGTATATTTAACATATCGGTGCGACGGCGCGAGTGTTGCGCCATAATCTCTTCCTTCTCCCTTCAGCGCTAGGATAATGAGAGACACCGGCTCATGACTATTCATAGTACATATCCGGTTTTTATCGCGGAACGCGACCCTCCGTTACCTCCGCGCGAGCGACCGAATTTATTTTCCGCGGAGCCGCAGCGCAACTTTCCTCACTCGCTCGCCATCGAAAATGCAACGTGCATTAAATGTTCATCGTGCATTCGCGGATCGACGACCGCTCGATAACGCACGGCGCGTGTAACAAACCGCATCATCGGTCGGTCTCCACGCGTTCGACACGTTTTCGCTGCAGAGAGAGAGAGAGAGAGAGAGAGAGAGAGGGAGAGAGAGAGAGAGAGAGGTGAAAGCGAAAGAGAGAGAAACTTGAGAGTTGAGACTTGAGAATTAAGAGCTGAGGGCTGAGAGAGAAAGAGAGAAAGAGAAGGGAAGAGAAATATCCTGCAAAAAGGGTCGACTCGCTTCTGCGCGTTGTCACGTCCACGAACCCGTGTCATTACAAGTGGAATTATATCTGCGCGCCTACGCGCAATCTTTTTTGCGCGGGACATACTGCGCTCTCTCGATCGTGTTTGCCCTACGCTACACCGTCGTCATCCTACGCGCTATGGTAAACTTAAATTGTGTACCGCGTGTGGCCACCCACGCGATATATGACGTTAGTGAATCAACAATTCGCCACGTCCTCCGCGTCACGTCGAAAACGTGCCCGCCGTTGAATTCGCGACAGAGCGAAAAAACAGGCGCGTTTGCGCTCTAAACGGCGCGCGCGCGCGCACACATACGCACACACACACACACACACACAGTCAGACACTTCGTCAATTAGGCATTCCTTCGCAACAGGGAAACAAATTACGTTCGATCGAAGAGTTATTTTATTTATTTACGGCGCTCCAACGTACCGTTTCGCTCCAACGATTAACTCCGTGTCGATTCGCACGATGCAGCGTTACGCGAAATATGTGACGCACGTTATAAACGCGGACAGAGAATACATAATAGCGCGTAATGTTTGCCTCGTCTAAAATGATATTTGTTAGGTATTACATATTCATCGTATTAATTCGTTTCGATAGGTTCGCCTGACGAGCGGACAAGCAACTATCGGGCTGTCGGGGCTAATCCTCGATTAATTTTTAATGCACTTGCACGACGCTTTTCACGACGGATTAATGAGCGCGCTCCTCGGCCGCCACGCTTACATTTTTCATTCGAGCTTACTACGAGACAAGCGCAGCTTGCGATTTCGAGGTGGAGAAAAAGAGGTGGAGCGAGAAAACGCGCACGTGAGAGCGAGGTTGGCCACTAAAAGGAACAAATCTAACATCACCGCCATAATCATACAAGAAATTCGCGCGGCGCCGCGCCGGTAAACCGTATCCGCATTGCGGTGATCTCTGCGCGAGAATAAAACACGGATTATCCGCGGTTGGTTCTGCGGTAACGTTTTAATCCGACAGCGAAGGCTCAGCTTACCGGAAGGTTTAATTCACGCTAAGACAGTTCATAAATCACATTCGCTGCGCGAAAATTCGCGCACGGTCAAGAGTTGCGGCGATCTTTCGCGATATATTCGACGGGGACCGGCGCGCACTCTCACGTCGATTAAACGTCCCGATCGCTTCCAAAATTCCCGTAATACAATCTAGCCCGGTGTGTACCGTTGACCTGCTGGACAAACTTGGCCAGTTATCGAGTAAGCCGTATCGACTTGGCGTGTTGCTCCAACACAACCTGATGATATTACACCCGCCGGTCCAGAAGAGCCCGATCTCTAATTGGATATGCTTTTATGTACCCGGTAGGAGCCGTTGCGCGGTAACGACAATTAAGTGGCGCGTTTAATAAGCCGCATCTCGTGCTGCGACGAGATCTCGCGTGTGTCTACACGCAGATGTGTGTGTGTGTGTGTGTGTGTGTGTGTGTGAGAGAGAAAAAGGGAGAGCACAAATTTCGCACCGCGCAGTAAATATTCCTCTTCGACGGCGAACTCGCGGTCTTCTCGCATCGGGTCCGACGTGAAATCCTCGGATGGGTGTACACGCATGGTGACAGTCGCAATATTTGCATTTGTCGCGTTCACGCCGAGTGAAACGAATCGATGCTACTAACGAACCGCTGCCGCGCCAACTGTTTCGGCACCTCCGTGCAAGATATAAATAGTAGGGAAGCGAGGGGAAGGAGGAGGCGAGAAGAGAGAACGAAGGCTCGGGCCGAATAGAACGTTCAATTATTTCACGTCGAATCTGCCTCCCGCTGTTTTTGCGCCGGCGACGCCAACCAGCGCAACGTTGCAAACTCGGGGAACATGCAGTCGCGCGAAAACCTACGATAAAAGGGTGGCGCGCATTGAAAGCAGTCTCGCCCGTATGTTACACGCGCAGTCGTCCGACTTCTCGTCGTGTGCAATTTGTTTCGGGAGTCATTGTCGTCCGGCAGGCAAATATCGTTACCGTTACAAATTCGTCGTTTTCGAGCGTCTCGACTTCTATTCTCACAAAGAGTTTCCTTCCACCAAAGTAATTAGCGATATATGCGACGATTGGTCAGTTTTTCCGTCATTGATTCGCCGATTGTTCTAGTGAAAGGAAATCGATAGCCAACATCGTTTGACGGAGACTTATCGACTCTGTCGCTCCGATATTCCGAATCTTGATGTCGTGAGCGTCGTGACAAATGGCACCCAAATGAATTCTCCAAGTCGATTCCGTCAGATTTTCGCGCGCTAACGGCCTCGATTTTTCCCGTCTCCCGAGCGACGCATCGTCGCAATTTCCCCGGCATTGCCCCGCTATTGTTTCGCGCGACGAGAAAATAACGAGAGATATTAAATTTGCATCGCGGATACGCGGGCGCCCACGCGCGCGGGGAAATAGCACGGCCGAAGGTTAATTGGATCGCTTCCGCACGGCTTGTGCGAGATATCGGGCAGCGGCGGATTCCTAGGCTCTCTACTGGTTAATCTCTATCCGCGCGTTTCTACCGCGTACATACATGCGATCACTCACCCTACGGCCTCCTTGTAGAAGACGCTGAAGAGCGCAATTCCCACGCCGGTGCCGGCCTGCACCACCATCTCGACGAACTCCCGCCGTTTTCGGAAGTAATTGCCCAACACCAGACTGGCGGTCTCCCTCACGAGGCCGGCCCCGGTGCCCAGCACCAGTCCGTAGCTGCGTCGCATTTCACAAAGAGGGTAAAAATCGCGCGACTCTACTCGGTCGCGTAGAGAGCCCCGCGCGGGATAAGTCGAGACGATTTTTATCGGAAAGCGCAGCTGCCTGCGCGCGAACGCCTGTGTCGCTGACGTTTCAAAGGGAGAGCCCTGATATCGGACCGAGGATTTTACTCGAGAGCCTTGCCCTCCTCTATTTCGCTAGCGTGGCTTTCCTCTCGTACTACCATCAATGGGCGACCGTTAGCAATAAGAGCTTTACATGCGAACGCGCGCGCGGAGGATGCACCACCGAGCTGTGTAATCGTTGTTACGCACCTAAGAAGCACTTGATGCATCTGAAGGGCGAAGGAGGTGAAGAGCGAAGCCAGGGCCAACACGAGGCCGCCGATTACCGCCGTGAGCCTTGTGTTGCCGCGACGACACGCGCCGACGACCAGCGGCGCCGAACCGCGAGAAACCGCGGCGCTCAACGCTCCTGCCCATACTGAAAAAACAAAGGAGTGATTAGGGCGCGACAGCTCGAGAAATCGCGTCAGTCCCAAAATTCCTATCCTACTTTCGACCTCCAATGTTCCATTCGACGGCTACTTTACACTCGGCGTTCTATATCGGCTTCTTTCGATTCATCCCACTCAGCTCAGCCGGTAAATCCTCCCTCCAAGTGACATTTTCTGCGTTCTCTGCCATTTAGAGGCGCTAAGTAGGACTTTGGTTTTCATGTGTGTCAAGCATAGCAGAGTCGAAATTTTAGCCCCACTTTCGACCTTCCAACATCTATATATTCTGAAGGATCAGTGTAATACACATGGACGGTGAAATCCTACTTAGCGCCTCTAATGGCGCTAATGTCAGGAAACGCGGGAAATGTCACTTGGAGATTCCAAAGAGGACTTGCCGGCAAAGTTGGTAGGTTAGATGAAATCGAAAAAAAATGGATATATTGTTAATATACATGTTAAATATGAAATATTGAGGTCGAAAGTAGAATCAAAATTTCGACTCGAATACATTGATCTTTCAGAGTATGCGGATGTTACAGCTCGAAAGTAGGGCTAAAATTTCGACCCGGGTTTGCACAGAGCAAGCCGCGGCTGTTTTATCCTACGCTGTCTTCCCTCTCTCTCCCTCTTTCTTCCTCTGTGTTTGTCTCTGTCTCTTTCTCACTGACCGACAGCGGACGAGACGAGCTCGTTTGCTGATTGATTTGCCCCGAATGCTTCGCGCTAACGAGGAACGCTCACAAAACACTCCTCTCTTGGATTTCGACGGGACCCGGTGGGCGTTCGCGAAGCGGGTGAAAATATATTTTCGCGTTTTTCGTTCTCGCCAATACCCGTTTGGGATTCGGGAAGCCATTCTTGGAACTTGGCTTGATATTGAAAAACGTCACAAAATATTTTTCGAAAAGGACCTCGACATTTGTACACCTCGCGGCTTTTAGAATCCTGCGTAACTGGGTTCCCCTTTTTTCGCGAAAATTTTGGTGCGGTCACAATTTTGCGCGCGAGAGTCGATTATTTTTTTGAAGAGAGCTTCATCTCGACGGAAGAGTCTTTAAAACATCTGATTGGACCGTCCAACCTGTATATATAAATCGTTATATAAATTCCTCCTCTCATTATAAGAGCAGCTAGCGGCAACGCGATACGACCGGAAGAATGGCGAACAAAGTTTTCCCTTTTCGTCCTCTGGAACTTGGTATTTTCGACCGAGTCATCGACTTGGCAGATTTATCGCCCATCATCTCGTAATTACTTCCAAGCGAGCATCGGATTTCGCAATTACGACCGAATCCCCGCAACGTGAACCACGTGAAATTCTCTTTGAATAACGTTAGATCGTTAAGCGCTGTTTACGGATTGCGGCGATGCGACAATGGCATCCGCGCGCGTTCTCAAGCTCCAGCAAGATCCGCGAAAACAAGCGTCGGGCAGGAGGAGCGGTATCTCCATTAAGAAAAGAACTGACGTGGATTTACGAGCGGAGGAACAAAATGTAAATTCGTCGATTGAGACACGGTAAAAAAAAAGAGAGAGAAAATAGAAAACGTGCCGAGAAAAGAAAGCGATACGAGCGATCTTCTTCGCGCATCGCGCGCGCTGCGAGGGCGTCCGCGATGAAATTCGCGTTTAAATTTTTGCATCCCGAGCGAAAACTCGGATATCTGAGGAAGGCTCGATATGTATGCACCGCGCGCGCACCGCAGACACGAAGACATCGCAGCGTGAAACGTGAACGTCGACCGATTTAATGGCATCGCGTCAAAGCGCACTATAGCTGATCTCTCTGTAATGCTAAAATTGGACGGGGCTACGTCAATCGTATCGACGTACGTCTCCTGTAATCTCGTAAAAGCATCACTTTTTACCCTTATACTTGACGAAGTGGCGGAACGCCCTCTCTCTCTCTCTCCCTCCCTCCCTCCCTCCCTCCCTCCCTCCCTTTTCCCTTTTATAAATATCTTTGCAAACGCGCTCAAGTGTTTCGCATAATCATATCCTCTCCGACACGACGGACATGAATAATCGAGCCGAAACGTGTTTATACACGACGGCGGAAATTTAGCGGCCGTCTTCATGCCTCTTTACCGCCTCTTTATCGTTTCTCAGTGTAGTCTGCCTGCTTGTCTATCGTTCTATCGTTCGTACACATCTATGTAGAATTTTGAGTGTTTGGCAAATGTTTTAAGACGATCGGCACGACCAAGTTCCAGAGAGGTACGCGGAAAAGTAGGGTCGCGACCACTGCTAAAATCTTTCTTGGAAATTATAGGATATATTACGCCGGATTAAACCGTAATTAACGATACGATTAAATTCCCGATACGGCGGGCTGCTCGGGCTGATTAAGTAAGAAGCAAGTTTTCGCCGCTCATTTGCGCGAGTGTCAGGCTGTATTCAGACGTTTCAATTTCAGCGAGAAAAGTAGCCAGCCAATTAAGCGTAAAATTGAATTCTTCGCGAGAAGAAAAAGTTCGGTATAATTAATCGAGGAAGAAGGTCCTGTCAGTTACTTACTTACACATTTCAAGCTTCAGTTTTCGCACAGGCGTCTCTGGTGTTTTTGCTCTCGCTAATTTAACATCCAATTAAACTCTCGCTTGGAAATAATGCGCAATAATTAATCCCCGAATAATATCCTGTCACTCGCACAAATCATTTTAAGTATTAGCTCGCTAATACGATTTAAAAGCGCGCGCACGCACACGGACGGGATTTTTGCCGAGGGATTTGAGCCGAGGGAAATTTTCAGCGGACGAATATACCGTGGGAAGAGCAAATGCTCGTAAACTGAATGGGTTTGCTGAGAAATTCAATACATTCGCTGACGAACGGTCAACCTGACGCGCGAGCGCACCATCGCCATGTGTGCGAAACTGTTAAGAAAACGACCCGCCGACGTCGAAATGTGCCCAAGGCGCCCAAGACATTACATCCAAAACGAGAGACTCGAGCGCACACACACACAGAATAATACATGTCTCATTCACATAATAAATGTTTTGCGTAAACGTATGAGATAATTGTGTTTCAAGTACTTCACAAGTTTATAATCTATCGTAAGTTTATCATAAGCATTGAATTTGCTCAAAATACATACTGAAGTCTTGTACAAGCGTTTCAATCAAGAATATTAAATTAAAAGAAAAATTCGATTGACTTATTACATAGAGTCGAGCCAACTTTTTCTTCAAGAAAGTTTTACGATTGAATCTATTCTTGCAAGAAGAACAGATTTTTCGTTTGAGTACATGATAATGAGTTTCCCTGCAATTTAAGTATATTTTTTAAAGCTGGATATAAAGAAAATATAGTCTTTATTGAAAATAACCATTAAAAGAAGGAAGTTAGTGGTAGAATGAATTGGTGTATAGTGGTAGAATTTCTCCATGCGCGATATGCATCGCATCACTATGTTCGGCGAGTCGTCACGTTTACGAAAATTACCACCTGCCGCGTGCGGTGTGTGCGTGCGTGCATAATTATGTGCACAACAACGCGAGCACGCGATGTGACCCGGAGCGGTGTTTCGCGCACGTTTTGGGACTTTTCATGCGAGAATCGCGTGCGCACTCTTTTCGCATAAATTCGCGCAGATATCGACGCTTTGCGTGTCGGGTGTCGAAGAGCGACGTGAAGTATACAGGGTGTTCCAGATTTGTCGAACGCTCCTCTCTCAAAAACAAACTAAAGTTATAACTAAACTACATAAATCTCTATTGACACCGAGGAAAGTATCCTTGAAAATTTCTTTGCGAGATACAAAGGACTCCGCACAAAACCTATGGAAAATGGTTTTCGGGCAAATTGGCTGAAATTTCACTATGTTATATTCCACTATGTTTTCGTCATGCTGATAAAAAGTTATCATTGCACCAAATCCCAAAAGTCAATATTTCCCAAGATATAAAGGGTCAAAGTAGTAAAATATGGTCAATAAAAATCGATTTTTACATATATATATATATATATATATATATATATGTAAAAATCGATTTTTATTGACCATATTTTACTACTTTGACCCTTTATATCTTGGGAAATATTGACTTTTGGGACTTGGTGCAATGATAACTTTTTATCAGCATGGCAAAAACTATAACATAGTGAAATTTCAGCCAATTTGATCGAAAACCATTTTCCATAGGTTTTGTGCGGGGTCCTTTATTTCACAGAATCAAACTTTGTGTATCCCACAAATAAATTTTTAATTTGTTGTATTTTTTCTCAGTAGTCGAAATTTTAATCCTACATTAAACCTTGAATTCTACAACGCAGTAAAAGCTAAGTTAGCAAAGTAAATTCAATTTTAATGATACAATTTATTCCTACTCTGATGATGTCCAAAATTTCCCTTTCTTTAGCGTCAAAATAGATTGTATAGGCTTCAGAATATCAAAATGGGTGTTGAATGGAATAGTAAGACTGAAGGTAGGATCAAAATTTCGACTTGCATACACACTTTATTTATAGCGATTCATCCATCGGTTTGCCGATTCGCACAAATATCATCGAGTGAAATTTGAAAAGTAATACAGCAGCGCTCCAATTTGCGCATTTTAACAGTTAAACTTCGAGCCGCGAGTAATCCCGGTATTGAGGATAAAACCACTCGATCGATGAAGGTACGGCACGACCCCCGGAATGAATATGCATTGTCCGGTCTTGTCGCGACTTAAGAGAGCTTTTCGAAGAAACCTGAATATTGGCGCACCAAAGCTTCAACAGGTAGCGACTTCGGCAACGTTCTTGCGCGAATAATTTATGAGCTTGGACGCTTTTAGCGCTATTTGCGCAACGCTCGGCCAAGTGGGATGATGAACTCTAACTCTAACTCTAATTCTCTCTCTCTCTCTCTCTCTCTCTCTCTCTCTCTCTCTCTCTCTCTCTCGCTTAGGATTTCCCAGATTGGATTTACAGGACGCTTTGAGCTCCACATCGGATTTCTCTGCGAAATATTTAAGAGCTCTTTCACGTTCCAGCG